CCTGCTCCCAACGGTGGTTTTGGTGGCCGCAGGGGAGCCCGCAGTCACGGGGGTGGTGGGGCGTATGTTCAGCCCATGACAATGGCGGATGTGCAGCGGGCTTTGTCTGATGTGATGCGTGAGGAGAGGGCAGCGCAGCGCCAGAGCAGCTCGTTGCAGGCTGCGCCAGTGCCTGTTCCTCCTCCTCCGGCTGCGCCTCCTGACATTGCACCGCTGGCTGCTGCTCTGCCTCCCCCTGCTCACGCTCCCTTGGCTCCCGCACGTGATTCTTGTCTCCGTATCCCCTGGTTCCCGCCAGTGGCGGGCATGAAGTTTGTGGTATGGGGGGGAGGGGCAGTGAGGGCGCAATATCCGCCTCTCGTTGCCACTGGTCTTGACCCGTCTGCTGCTGACACTCCGCTTTCCTTTCTGGCGGAGGCACTTCTTCCCCCGCAGACTCATGTTCTAGAGGCAATGCTTGGGCAGCCATTTTGCCTTGCAGAGAGCTTCCATGCCCTCCTTCTGATCCAAGACTTGGCACATGCCCCTCTCCCCCCAATCCCTGCAGACTCATTTCTTGACAGGCTGCAGGAGAGCTGCCTTGATGCGGCCGACCAGCTTGCCCTTTTGCTGGCGCCCGTGTTGGTTGCGCCCGCAGAGGGTGGCGTTGCGGCTGTGGGGCAGCTTGACGAAGCTGTCCGGGGCTTACGACGATACTTGCGTACAGGTTCTGGAGCCTCCCCGATCGGCGCAAGCACGTTGGTGGTCCGCGAGCTGTGGCAGACTCTGACAAGCATCCTTCACGCCCTTGAAGCTCATCGGATGTAGGTCCGGGCTCCTCTTGCCCCATTGTTGGCTTGCTAGTAAGATGTTGGTGCTGCCATGTGTGTATGTCTTGCGGATTATAGTTGTGCCCTGTGTGTTACTTGCCACCTCTCACGCGCGACCGAAGGCCGCGCCGTCAAGCGTCGGTTAGGAGAGAAACCGACCAAAGAAATGAATAGTGAAGGCTGAAACAGAGCCTCTAAGGCTTTATACTTGGAATAAACAGGCTTGGGAGGCTAGAGAGGCTTGCAGCAGAGGCTAAGTTACTAAGCTTCTCTCTCTCTCTCTCTCTCTCTCTCTCTCTCTCTCTCTCTCTCTCTCTCTCTCTCTCTCTCTCTCTCTCTCTCTCTCTCTCTCTCTCTCTCTCTCTCTCTCTCTCAAGCAGTCCTTCATTGATATTTTACAAGGTACATAGCGGTCCAACATGCCTTGTCCCTACAGCATAACAAAGAGTCAACAGCATACCACCGGCATCCCTACGCATGCAGATCCCGCATCTCCCTTGAACCAGGACTGCCTCCTAGCCTAGGTGACCCCAGTGCCGCCGCTGTGGCTGACACCCCCGGCCTGAGGGGTGCCCTCCGGCCCACCCCTCATATGTCTAGGGGTGGTCCCCACTCCAGGTCGTCCTCTATTACCTGCCAGAGGTCTCCCAGGCGGGGCTCCCAGGGGTCGGCCGCCCCCTGGGGATGAGCCATCTCCGTGGCTCTGTTCGATCTAGCCAGGAATGTGTTTGCCTGGCTGCGCTGCAGCATTACCGACCAGCGTTGTCGGTAGTGTGCTGTCAGCTTGGAGGCTACCGCAGTTAGCCTCCCCTGCCGGTACTTCTTTTTAGCAGCTTGTGTGCCGAGCATCCTCAGGAACCGCTGTGTATCCCTTGCCAGGGCCCCATACGTCTCTACCGCCAACCCCAACACCCCCACATAGTCCGGGCGCCCCTCATACAGCCCCCTCTTCCCCCTTGCAGCATCTTCCGCTGCCCATCCTGGCGGCTTCACCGCCCTGGTGTCACGCTGTTGCAGGACCGGGTCTGTTATGGTCACATCCGTGACCCAAGTTTCAGCTGACTCCCTGTCCTTGAAGGCCAAGTCCGCTCGCTTGGGGTTGACTGGTTGCGAGTAGGTCGTGGTCTCGTGTAGGGTCATTTAGTCAGCTTCTCTTGCCATGCGCAGCGCCGCATAGACTAGTGTGTTATGGGTGTTTGTCCGGTCCTTCCCCTCCCCACACTGCAGCAGGTGGTTGGGCAGGCTCAAGTCCTCTATCTTCCCCCTCTCCCCCTGACATGGGCAGCTGTTGGTCACCGGCAGGGTCAGGCCCAACCAGAAACCTAGCGCTAGGGCGTATTGCCCTGGTGAGAATGTGAGATCAGCCCGCGTTGGGATCGCGTGCAGCCAGTCCCCCGCCCCCACTCCCCGTAGGCTAATGAGCCGGACCACGTGGCCGTTGTCATCCCCTGGCTTATCCATCCTTGTGTCACCCACTAGTTCCGCCGCCCTGGTAAGGTTGATCTGTTGGGACAACGCCTCCTGCAGGTGGCCCTCCCCCCCCCTCCTTCCCATCAGCTCCCCTAATAGCTCCTTCGCCCGAAGCGGAAGTCGGTTCCGCATGTCCCTCAGAGTCAATCCCCCCCTGCCAGCTACCCCCTCCCCTAGTGGTGACACCAGTGCTTCCGCCCACTGAAGTTGCTCGTTAGGAGAGTGCGGCATCTGCTGTAGCAGTAGCTGTGCCGCTCTAAGTGATGCCAGGTGCGCCGCCGGCGCTTCCGAGAGAGGATCGATCAGCCCCAGTCCTCCTAGCGCGATCGGCAGTGTCGCCTGCCTCCACACCAGGCTCTGCTCCAATTCCTTGGATGGCACATGCAGGTGTGCCGCCCTTAGCGCCGTCCATAGCAGCCGCTCACTCCATCCGCGCCACTCCGCTAGGGGCAGAACGTCCGCAGGGGTTGTGCGCAGGAGGTAGGATATCCTACGCGAGATGCACCTGGACAGCAGCAGCATGGCATGTTGAGGGTGTAGCTTGCTGATGAGCCGGAGTGGCAGTGCGATTCTCTCCAGCGTTTCCCGTATCGAGCGCCTGCAGTAAGCCGTGGTGCCTATCGGGCTCCCCAGGACCTGCACCCCATCCACCGCTGCTGCCAGCCCTTCCGGCAGGTCGCCCGTGTGCCCTGAGGGGCACCACGCCAAGGATTTGACGAGATTGCAACGTAGGCCGACCCCTCGGAGCTCCTGGGTGATCTTGTTGAATGCCCGTTTGGCCGCAGCAGGGGGTCGAATCGACGATCGTAATGTTATCCGCATACGCCATCACCGTCGCCTCTGGTGTCTCCACCGCGGCCGCCAGCAAGGCCGGTTGTATAGCCAGTGCGAAGAGTGTGGGGCCGAGCGGGTCTCCCTGGCGGACGCCCCGTGCACTTTCAATGGAGCCGATGCTGAAGCCGTCATCAAGCAGCAGCTTTGATGGAGCGGCGTACAGCGTCCGCGCCAGGGGGAGTAGAGAGATTAGGTTTGTGAAGCGCAGTGAGTTTAAGAATTGGCCGCGTTCAACCGAGTTGAATGCGTTTTCTATGTCCAGCTGCAGGATTACCCTAGTCTCGTCTTCCCCTAGTAGCGCCCTCGCCACATGTATGATACACTCCGCTCCTCCCGGTGTGGCCACCCCGTACTGCACTGGCAAGAAATATTTGCGGATTTCTCCCGATAGCTCCCTCAGCGCCGCTTTCGCCACGATTCGTAGTAGCGCTTCTCCTATGGCTATTGGCCTGACGCCGCCATCCGGTTTTCCTAATGCGACTAACCTAGCTGGCAGCAGCAGATCCCTAACTGGCCTGTCCTGGAACGTGCTGAGTAGGTTGTTAACTAGGTCTCTGAGTAAGAAGAAGACTTCGCCGTTCGTGAGTGCAGGGTCGCGGAGGTGTTCGAAACATGTGCCTGAAGGGCCCGCCCCTATCCCGTTTGGACACTTCGCCAGGACGTCGCGAAACGAGTCCGCCCCAATGGCGAGTGCCGTTTCCCCGTAACCTCCCAACCCCTCAGGTATCGCCACTTCCGCCTGTGGGTGTTTCGCCCTTAGTGTGTCAAGGGCAGCCTGCGATGGTTCAGCCAGTGGCGAACTCTGTAACACCGCTGCTGCTTTCGACAGGTTGGCTTTGTGAACCAACCCCTCCACACGTGCGCAGGTGCCTTCCGCATCTGGCTCGTGCCTGCTTGGCTGGGAATCTGCCGAGAAGGTGCAGGCCTGGAGGTACAATCCCCCCCATTCCTCATCCCGAAATTGTCTGAGTCGTTTCTCCACCCATGCCAGGCTTTTGCCCGGCAGTTTCTCCATGCTTGCCCTGAGTGTCAGCCGGGGTAGGAATTGCAGAATTCGCCAAGCTCCCATGCACCCCGGACGCCTCGACAGCCGCAAAAGTGGGATGGTGAGGCAGTGGCTAAAGGACTTCAGAAGCTCCGGAGGAAGCTTCCGGATCAAAAAAGGTTGCGCGCTGGAGCAGAGTGGATCCAGATTCCAGCCTTCCACCTGCTGCCATGTGGCGTCATCATCTGCGATGTCACTTGGTGAGCATTCCTTGTTGCCATTGTCATTGTCCCTTCCTGCCTCTGATTCGCCCACCTGTCCTGCCCTTGCTTGATTTCCCTCACCACTCCCTCTTATTCCGCCCCGTCTCCTCCTCCTCTCGTTGCCAGCTGGGACGCCCTCCTCCGCTTCCACCGAGGCTTCTTCCGACTCCGCCTGTTCTTCCCCCATATATTCTGACTCCTCCTCTCCTGGGTTGTCAGTCATTGGATCCCCGCACTGCACCTCTGGCCTCCCGTGCCTTTCCCGCCAGTGTCCGGATCTTGCTTTTCCCCTCGCAACCGATCGGGCCAGCTCGCCCACCCTCCCTCCCCTGCCTCGCCCTCGACCGCGTCCCCTCGGGGCCGTTCTTCCCGCCGCGTTTCGCGGCCGCATCGCCGTCGCGCGTTCTTCAGCCTGCTCATGTAACGCCCTCTGCCTACTCGTCTCAGTCCACCGGACCTCGTTGTTTCCTGTAGCCGCTGCGTTCTCTTCCTCTTCATCTGCGTAGTTCTCCGCATCCGTTGGCTGATCCTCCCCCCCCATTTCGCCGTGTGCTTGCAGGCCCTCGTTCGATGGCGGCAAAGCGCCGCTCCGGTCATCGTGGGGGGCGGTCCGGTGTCTCCCCTGATGTTCCCAGCCCGTCAAGGGCCCAGGCTGGACTGGCGCCAGCCCTGCTCCGAGCCGCCGCTGCCCTGGTCGCGCACGGGGAGGCCGACTCCCCCTCCCGTCGCCGGGAGCCAATCTATCGCTCGCCACGCGGGCAAACTCATCCACACCTTCAGGCCCGCGGCGACTCCTTTCGCCGTCGCCGTCCGCCCCAGCCGAAGCCCGCCGTTCAGAGGGAGGTAGTTGGCCCCCTTCTTCAGGGGTTCCAGAGCTCCGCTGGCCCCGCGGCGCCGCCTCTCCCCTGCCCGACCCAGTCGGTGCAGTCGTCCCAGCCGCAGTCGTTGGGAGCGGGTTTGCCGCCGCTCGGCCTCCATCCGCCGCCTCCGTTGCCCTCTGATCCGCCAGTGCCGCCTCCCCCCGCCCCATCACCTCCTCCCTCCCCTCCTCTGCCCGCGTCGTCTGGCGGGGCACTTCGTGTGTCTCCTCCGCCGCCGCCGTCGCCGTCACTCCCTCTCCTCCCGCCAGAGCCACCTCAGCGGCAACATCCACTTCTTCCTGCCGACCCGTCTCTTCCCGCCCGGTTCCCTCCGCCACGTGCTCAGTCTCCCCCGCTTCCTCCCGACGCTCTTGATCCCGAGGATGACGAGAAGTGGTGGAATGGCGAGGTATGGGAGGCTCCCCCCCAGCCGGGGACAGCCTGGGCCCGTGATTGGGACACCCGCAATGACTTCGTTCTCGATGTTCTCCGGTGGGAGCGTCGCATGATTGGCGTTGGCGAGTGCCTCTCCCACGTGGCGACGGTCCTGGTGCAGCTGCATGATGGTCTTGAGGGGCGGAACTTCGTGTTGCGGGATCCCCAGCTGAATGAGCAGCAGCAGGGCGTCGTTCGTGCTGCTGCGGCGCAGGGACTTTGGCGGCTCCTCCGCTTGCCTCTGGAGTCCGAGCATCCTGGCCTGGACGAGGGTCCTGGCGCTCGAGCTTTCCGGCAGGTCGCCAGGGCTGCCGAGGAGTCTCCCTTGCAGCCCGTGCCAGTGCTCGCTTGCCTCTTGCGCTGGATTCGCCGGCGCTTCTACGTGTTGAACCGGGTGTAGCGCCCCGCGGGTTTTTAGCATTGCCGCTCCCCTTCTTGTTCCCCATCCCTTTACCCGTACCTACCTTGCCCATGGTTGATGGGCCTCACTCTAGTGCAGCATCATGTATCTTCTTGATTGAGTGCTGTTTGTCTTGCCACCCCTCACGCGCGGCCGAAGGCCGCGCTGTCGAGCGTCGGCCGCCTTCGGCGGCCGGCGCGAGCCGCTGGATTCGCAGTGAGAACGAACTCACCACCGAACAATGAGGAAAAAAGGGGGCCTCCCTGCCCCTATATACCAGGAGAGTAGGCTTTAAAGGGCTTGGAACTAGTCTACACTAAGAGGCTAGTCTACTCTAAAGGGCTAGGCAGCTATAGCTGGGTGCAGAAACTTAGCGGCATGATAGGATTTGGAGTCGGCGTTGAAGTATCGCCGAGCCGCCGTGTCTGCAAGGAGTTTCAGGAACACAGGGACCTCCGCACAAGGGCAGCCGTAGGTCTCTACGGCGAGGGGGAAGAAGCCCACTGTCTCTGGCAGGTTCTCATAGTGCTTGATCTTCTTATCCGCCTGCTCCCGGGCCGCCCATCCCCTGCCTTTCTTGGCCTCCGGGTCCCTGGTACTAATAGGGTCTGTAACTGTCACATCACACACCCAAACTGCCCCACTGCTTCTGTCTGTCATGGTGAAATCCGCTGTCTGCTCCTCTATGGGGCAGTAAACATTTGTTTCCCGGTGCACGATGAACCCCGCGTCTTGCGCCATGCTGATGCAAGCGTCGCGAAGCTCATTATGAGTATTCGTGCGGTGCTTCCCCGTGCCACAGCGGAAGAGGTGGTTGGGGAGGCGCGGGTCTGTGATAGCGGTGCGGTCTGCACAGTCACAATTCTTCGGGGTGGAGAAAGGGAGGCCTAACCGGAAGCGCACGGCGTTGCTGAAGTGTACCGGGCCGATGCGACGTGAGGAAGCTACCGGGACCGCCGTCAGCCAGTCCCCTGTGCCGTAGCCTGTGAGTGAGAACATTCTCTGTGTGTGCCCGGAGAGTGGATTCAGTCTCATTTGCCTCGTCTCCTGGACCTGAACCGCGTATCTACTCCCCTGTACTTTCAGGCCCAAGGTGTGCTGGAGCTTGATGTCCGACCGAGAGAGCCGCTCCTGGTCAACTACGTCGCGTGCGTCTGAGGGTAGGGCTGTCTCGCACTCTGTGAGCCAGGAGTGAAGCGGTGTGGTGCTGTCTCGGGGCAGAATCATGTGGCTGTGTGCTCGGGTCAGTGCTGTGTCTGGCGCTAGCGTCAGGGAGGAAAAGAAGAGTGCGGCCTGTGTGAAGCTGGCTACGAATCCGTAGACCCCTTCTACGAGTGGGTCTGTCAGTCCTAAGCCGCCCAGGGATGAGGGAAGCGAAGCCTGCGCCCACACTCTCGACTGCTCCGTGCTACAGGTAGGGACTTTAATCCCGCAGGATGTCAGGAGCGCTGCTAGAAGGTCTCTCCCCCACTGCGCCCAGGTGTCTCGTGGCAGGAGATTCAGTGGCGTGGTCCTAGTGAGGTATGCTACGCGTCTAGAAATGCAGCGGGTCAGTAGCAGGGAGGCTACTTGGGGGTCGGCACGTTCTAACAGTGGCAGCGGCTTAGCCATTTCCTCCAGCTGCCCTGCCAGGAATTTTGCCGCACCCGCTGCTGGCCCCAGGAAGCTACCTAGAAGGCGTATCCCATCCTGTGATAACGGGACCCCTGGCGGCAGCTGAATAGGCTCGTCGCCTCCTGTGCTCCATGCCACACATTTCTGTGGATTATGTGTGAGACCCAGCTGCGCTAACTTGCTCGTGAATAAGTTGAATGCTGCTACAGTGTCTGAGTCATCCCCCAAAAATGTCACGTCGTCTGCATACGCCAAGCAGAGAACGTGGGGGTGTGCAGCTGCAGTTTCGCGAAGTGCTGGGTGGATCCCTGCTGCGAACAGTAGGGGGCCGAGTGGGTCCCCCTGTCTCACCCCGCGTTCACTGTTCAGCGGGTGGCTGGCGAAATTTGAGTCGAGGTACAGCTTCGAAGGGTTACCGTACGTTAGCCGAACTAGGGGGAGCAGTGACGAAAGGTTGCTGTCGCAAATCCCGTTGATGATTGCTTGTCGCGAAATGCTATTAAAGGCATTTGAAATGTCGGTCTGTAACACCACGCAGCGGTCCCTCGAGTCAACGAAGGCACGTGCGACATGGATGTTCGCTTCAGCTCCCCCAGGTACCGCCACCCCGTACTGTAGAGGCAGGAAATGGTCACGTGCAGCTTCCCCAATTGCAGTCAGAGCTGCCTTGGCCGCGAGGCGCGTCAGGCACTCGCCAATTGCAATTGGCCGAACCCCCCCACCTGGCTTGGACAGCGCGATTAGGCGCGACGCCGTCAGCAGGTCTGCAACTGGCTCGGGTAATTTGCCCGTCAGGATAGTGTTGACTAGGGCATGCAGGTGGGTGCAGACCGATGCGTTGGTTGCCGATGCGTCGCGAAGGTGTTCGAAAGCGGTTCCGGACGGTCCAGTCCCCACCCCATTTTCGCACCGACCCAGGAGTTTGGTGAAATCAGCGTGGCTGATTTGAAGGTTCGGGCCTGGTGTTGTTGGCCAGCTCAGATGCTCGTCGTCGGCTCGGGGGTGTTTCGCGCGAAGTTCCTCCAAGACCCCCGGGCCAGGCGTGCAGATTGGGGTTGACTCGAGGGCCAGCACGGCTCGGCGGAGGCTTCCTCGCTTGGCCAGGCCCTCCGCCCTGCTGAGTACTCCCGCCTCGTCAGGCTGGTGACGTGGAGGCGGTGGGGTGTTGATGGCTTCGATCGCGTCAGAGTACAGCTGCCCCCATTCGCCACGCTGGAAAGCTCTGAGACGGGCTTTGACTTCGGGCCACTTCGGTGTTCTTGGCGACGGCTGGCGAAGTGTGAGCCGTGGGAGAAACAGCAGCAGTCGCCAACCTGCGACTGAGTCCGGATTTCGCGCGAGGTGGAGGAGCGGGGTGAGTAACACCAGTGAAAACAGCTGACACAAATTGGGCGGTAATCGGCGTGACAGGGATGGCTGACGACTGTCGCATAGTGCCTCTAGGTCCCAATCACCGATGGCTGCGAACAGATCCGATCGCTTCGCCAACTCCCCTGGCGAGTAGTAGCGGGGGAAATGTGCTTGGTTTGCTGACGCGCTTCCAGAGCGCGCAACCTGATTTCTCTGCATGCGCCTCGGTGCATCGCTCTGTCCAGGAGTTGGGATCGTAGCCGTCCGATTGACTTGATGCGTTCCTCCTTCCCCGCCCGCCTCGTGCTCACCAGCTTGTATCTCAGTCCCTCGTCTGTCTCCAGCATCATCTGTTTCTTCCTCGTCATCTTCACTTTGTGGGAGAGGCTCCTCCCTATAAGAAGGATCCCCTCGCTCCTCCTCTTCATTAGTTCTCTCCAGAGCTGTTAAAGCCCGACGCCCTGCCGCTTGGAAGCCATTCTCGGGTCCACCTCCTACGCCGCTAGCTATTACTCTCCCTCTGCCTCGCCCTCCTCGGCCCCTCGATGGTGATTTCTGGGCCGACCGACTATTCGCCAATGCGCGTTGGCGCTCCGTCGGCTGCGTACGAAAGGCCACCGCCTGCCTTCGGAACGGGGACCATGCCGACGGGCTCCCCGACGCCGCCTGCTCCGAAGCCCGTGACAGAAGGCGCTGAAATCCTTCCTCGCCCCGCACCGTCGTTTCGCGAGGCCCTGGCGTCTCTGCCTGGCGACGGTGGTCACCAGGCGCCCGCGCTGTCTGCATCGCTTCCTGTTGCGCCGCCTGTCCCTCTCGCTGCGGCGTCCGATGTGTCTGCTCCGTCTGGCGCTCTTCGAGTTGCCGACCCCGTCGCTCCGTCTGCGGCCGCCGAACAGGCGGTTGTTGCTGGCGGCGTGGCGGCCCAGCCGGAGGGGTCCGCCACCACTGACGTCCAGGGCCAGCCGTCGCTTCCCGCCGCCCCGGCTCCTCTGTCTGCACCGCCTCAGACGCTAGCGCCTCCTCCGCCTGTGCTTGCTGGGTCTGCTCCTGCTCTGGCCGCGGCTGTACCTCCCGCGCCACCTGTGGTTGCGCCCCCTGCACCGTCTGCGGGTGCTCCTCCTGCGCCGCCTGGAGTTGCTCCTGTTGCCCAGCCTGGTGCTGCACTGTCGGCTCCGCATGCGGCGGGTCCGTCTGCGCCGCATGTTGCTGTTCCTGTCGCACCACTGGTGGCGAATCCCGCTGCACCGTCCGCTCCGCGTCGGCAGTCTCCTGGCCGCCGTCAGCAGCGGCCCCAATCCCCCGTGCGTCAGGACGAGCGC